TGTTTGTTTGCCTTATAAATCAGCATTATCCAATCCAACTACAGAGTTTTATATGCATATTTATTACATTAGAACGATAATAGGGAGTTTTAGAGAGCGAAAGTAAGAGAGAGATGGTACCAGAGATCGTAAATGTAGAAGTGGAAGAGATGTTGAGTGAGTCAATAGCATATTCTAATGAAGCAAATAAATTGCCAATCTTGTCACTAAACCATGTCTCTTTTGTCTGCAAATCAGTCAAAAAATCTGTGCAGTTTTATGAGCAAGTTCTTGGATTTGTCCTAATCAAGAGGCCCTCTTCTTTTGACTTTGAAGGAGCTTGGTACGTATATTCATCTTCCTCTGCGGGTGTGTTTACATTGGGATAAAGTAGAAATGAAAAATATGAAGCATTAGACACATTAATTTTGCATATTACTTTCCAAATCTCGAAGATTTCGAACATACTTAAACACCCACCATTTATACTTCTTATGTTCCTACTGATATTAAACAAGATTGACAATTAAAGAAAATGGGGGAAAGTTGCAGATTTTTTACTTCACTGCTATGGAATTAATTTACACGGAAGTTTGATTTCTCTCTTTCTTTATGCTTTGACATAAAACAAATTAACCTCCCAATCTGGACGAATTTTTCTACCAGTTTATCAAATTTAAGAGGGAGATGTGAAGACTAATTTTATTATAAAACTCTTAATCTCCGTCCAACCAACTCCAGAGGAAAATTAATGTAGTACGGTCTCGATTGCAAGAAATTTACCATCAGCCTTATTAACATGTTTTGGTACGCATGTCTCATATAACAGTGCATTGGACGAGTACTATTTAGCTAACTCATATCGTGTCTTGTTTAGTCCTGTGCACTCACTGGCGAAGGAAAGGGGCTATGATCCCCCAACTTTTGGGAAATTTTGTTTTTGTTTTTGTTTTTTCCTTTTATTTTTCGAAAAAAAAAACACAATTTTCTCTCGCTCTCTCACGACTCTCTCTCTCTCTCACCTCTATTACCAAAACTCTAACCCTATTAATTCTTCAGAAAAATGTCTATGATTTCCCACAAATTACCACAACTACTCCAATTTTCAACTAATTAGAACCTAAATTTTCATTTTCTTTTTTACCAATTTATTCTAACATTGATGCAAAATGACTGTCATTACGGCACTACCTCCCTCATTCGTCATTGTAATTCTGACGCCACCTTCACTCATCAGTTCTCCACACACAGTCAACTTAAAGTTATTTTGTCTTTGAAAATTGAAAGACAACCATTACGCAGACAACAGTAACTTATAATTTCAAATTTTTAATTTTTTTTTTTTAACAAAATTCAAAGTAAAAGAGAAAATGGGTTTGAATTACATCATTAGTTTATGAATAATTATATTCTTACAAAGTTGGTGTACAAAAGTGGAGTGCCAAAGTGTGTTGGCAAAATCTGGACCCTTGATTTCAAATTATTTAAAAATCTGTTTTTAAAATGATTGGTGTAGATTTGATTTTGTAACCTAACTTTGTAAACCCCCTTTGTCATTGTAGCATAGCTTGATTTGGAATGTGTTTGGAAAAATTTATGCATATGGAATGACTTTAAAATTGTGTATATAGAATCTGGAATGATTCTGTCCAATTTGACTTATATTGATTGAATTGATAGTTAGTATTAAATATTGGTTGAATGTTTTTCCTTTCGATAACATGAATTGAATATTTTAATTGATTGTTTGTCTCAGTTATGGATAAATTCCTTAAATATAAATATGTATTTTCTTATGATAAGCAAAATATTAATGAAAGTAATGTTCGAGATAAAATAGATGAAAGTGATATTAGAGATGATAGGGATCAAGGACTTGGTGATTAAATGGCTGTTGGGGATGAAATTGATTAAACTAATCTTGGAGATATTCCGGTTGAAACTAATGCAGAGGATGCTAGGAATGAAAATGCGTAGAAAACAATTATAATAAAATGTTGAATGCCTTTTAAGAAAAAAAAATTGCAAGCTTAACTGTGTCCCTAACTAAAAATGTCATCATCCGCCAATGGATGCATTAAACACATATTTTCCGAGCCTTGGCACATAATCCCTCTACTTCTTGACTATACTCTAAATATGTTATTCTACCTTCTCTTGTTCATGTTCATCTTTGTTTGGTGGGAATTTGATTACTAATCCAAACTGAATTTAATTTGTAGGTTGTTCAACCATGGAATAGGAATCCATTTGCTTGAAGCTGCAGAAAATGTTCCAAACAAAAAAGAGAAAATAAATCCAAAAGACAACCACATTTCATTCCAATGCTCGGATATGGAACTCATAACCCAGAAATTACAAGAAATGAAAATAGGATATGCAACTGCAGTTGTCAAAGAAGGAGGCATAACAGTGGATCAATTGTTCTTCCATGATCCAGATGGTTATATGATTGAAATTTGCAATTGCCAAAATCTACCAATTCTTCCACTTTCTTCCTGTCCTCTTAAGAAGCTACAATACCCTAATGATAATCTCACATAATCATCTCTCTATGTTGAGTTTTTTAATTCATTGAGTTTAAACCGTGACCAATTTATAGTAATTAGGGTTTTTGTTGCAGAAAAGTTTTATGGTATTTATTTACTTTATGGTAATCATTACTAGATGACCGGCTATATAGTTAAAGATTATGAGTTCAAGTTTTCTTATCATCAACTTAAAAAAGTGATTATTAATTAATTAATGTGTTGTTACAGGGAAGAAGATGCAGTGCAATAGGGAAGTAGAAGATCTGATGTTGGAGAATTTGGCAGTGGAAATGATGGATATTTCAATTTGACTTCATTTCTCCCCCTGTATTAGTTAGAAAAATGTAAAATATATGTTTGGAAAAGAGAAAGCATTTTAATCTATAGTTAATTATAAATGTATTAGCATATTCCAGCTCTTTCTTGGAGTCTTCTAATTGATAGTAAAATGTCAATCGATACTGCTTGTTTATGAAAAGGTCAATGGGCATATATGTAGAGAGGGATTTATTGTTCTAATTATATTGTCGTACAAATTCATTAGGCTCAAGTTTTCCGGTCAAATTGTCATCCCTAAATAAAGCGCTGTTAAAAAATATTAATCGAGTAAAAACATTATATGCCCCGTGTTTTTGCTCATGTAGACGAACTTCGCTAATAAGAAGGGGATCATGATAGAATTTCTTGTCATATTTACAACATTTTGACACAACGCGAGCAATTAACACATTTTACTTATGCGTATACACAAGTACCTTAAAAAATTGACAGGACTTAGAAACACATGAATTGATACATGAAAAAGTATAGCTTAACTTAATAAGTAAAAATCATATATAATATTTTAATAGTCATTTAGAACTTGAAATTCTACAAGTTGTGTCTAATTGTTAAAAAAAAAAAAAAAAAAGGGTGTTACACGAGCTCAAACGTGATAGGTCCCATAGTCTCGTGTGAACATAGTTTGGTCCCATTAATTTATGTATACTACTATATATATATATAGTCCTACCATGTGATGATATTTTAATGTAACAGCTATTGACCACTGATAAGGGCCATTTAATTTGGCCCCATTACTCGATGAAGAGACAACTTAATCCTGTGGGGTAGACCACCTTAGTGGGATAACATTTTGCCTCTCGTGGCAAACACTTCATCCCCTCAACTAAATGCTTTTATTTTTGCTTCCAATAAAGAAATTTATTCGAACATGATCAAAAATACTTCTTAATCTCATAAACAGCTTTTGACTTTTTCAAAATCCTACTAAACGAGCCGTAAAACTGAATATCCCTGTAGATTGAATCGACTTGCATATCTTGATATAAGTTTGAAAATCGTCGTTGTATCAAATACTCTACAAAAATCGACTTTGACTCTTAGAATTGAACTTTTTCATTGTATTATAGACCGAAGCATTTTCTAAAAGGATTCAAGTCCCCAGCACTGAGCTAATCCAGAGAATGGGTCTCTCTCTCTCTCTCTCTCTCTCAACAGAGATTGGAAAAGGCAGCAAAGGAATCAGCTCTTGCTAGTAAATCTTGTGTTATTAATCTAATATACAACTAATATTAACCTTTCTCGTCCCCGGATATAAAATAAAATAAAAATAAAGCGTAAAAAGGGTCATAAAAAACTGTCTTAGTACATTGAGAAAATAACACTGCCTAACTCGCTAGTACATTGATGCTACTATACTACTTCCGAGTACTGTGTATCAAACATGTATTAATATATTCCTCTATTCACCTTCAAACGAGTAGTTTTCTTCAACACAAAAACCACAAGCTCTAGAGTCTTGATCAGTTTAGTGCATTCTACAGAAAGAAGGCGTACTTCTGATTTGTCGTGTATATTTTCTTCGCCCTTGCAAAATTCAACTGAGTAGCTACCATATTGTACAGCGCAACCAAGGATGGTCGTTCTTTAGAAGAAAAAGTGAGTCTACCGAAGTGTTAAACTCTGCAATAGTTGGCAGAACTGTAATGTGCAATGCTGTGAAGCTTCATCATGTGCGACATCTGGAAGACCATATTCAGGCATTAATTATTTCTTTTCTCATTCATCAGATGAAATGACTACAAAAACGTCATTAAGAGACCATTTCCGCGGTGTTGACTTGTCCACAGGATTAATTACTGCACGCTCTGCTGTTTCAAGCCGATATCCAATCACAATTTCCTGCCGTTGACGACCCCTGATCATTATATCGTAGAAACAGAGCTCTTCCTTGTCATAAAGATAGAACTCTGCTGGCTTGATGCACATTTCATTACCCTGCAGATAGATATGGAGTTAGAGAGGAATGTACATTTTACGCAATGCATTTCATCTCGACTAGCAGGTTAATAAACTTCATTTGAATCTTTCCATATTACTTCTGCAGAAGAAGAAACAAATGAAAGCTAAAGGAATACTTTGATTTGAAGTGGAAAACCCTTGTCTGTAGAAACATAAAGAAAAATGTTACAAGGTTGATTAATATTTGAAGAAATGATCAACAAAAAGACTGAAATGTCTCTCGGTATCATCTTCAGAATTCTCACTATCAATGGGAGAACATTAAAGATGACAACCAGAAGAAACAATTTGACTTTCCCTGCATGAAGGCATGCATCTTGGATTTATCAGGACCTTGTACAAAATATGCACACATACTAAGACCTCAATTCAGAAAATTGAAATGAATTTTCCGGCTCCAAGTGTCATACTCTACATCAGAAATTTTCTTTTTTTTTTTTTTTTTTTTAAATCGAGGTTGCATGTCCGATTTTTGAGAGTTTTTGCACAGTTTCGAATTGGCCGACGTTTGCTTTGATTTTGGTTGGATTTTGATCAGAATTCCACCACCAACGTGCTTTGATCCCAAATGGAGCAGAATAGATCTTCAATTCGTGAAATCTGGGCTAAGTATACCAATCCCATTATCCCAACGTTATAAAACACACTCAACTAAGGATGTCAACGAGTCGAGTTGAGTCGAAAATCGAGGCTCGTGCTCGACTCGCGCTTTTTTTGGTCCGAGCCGAGCAGAGCAAAAGTTCAATCAAAAAATCGAGGCTTGACTCGAGCTTTTTGAGCCGGCTCGATTTTTTTCTCTTTTTTCTGTTTTTTTTATTACCTTTACAAAGGCAACTACTAACTCCCTTTATTTACACAAAGGCAGCAGCTAGCTATTTATTTATTTATTATTATTATTTTTTTAAATTTCTAGCCGGCCCGTGAGCCACACGATACGCTCAGGCTTAGCCCGACACCCCAAGATGGGGCTCGGCCCGATCCTAGGCTCGGTGCCGAGCCTCGAGCCAAGCCAACTCGAGCTTTTTACACAGCCCGAGCCCCCGAGCCAATTTGCCATCCCTCCTCACCCCAAGTTGGCTTCATTAATGAACCCAACCATTTGCCCTCATTCTAAAAAGTTTAAATTTCATGATATAGTTTCGCGTTCCAAAAATATCATAGTAGAAAGACAAAAACCTGTCTCATTATTTTGCAATTCTTGTAGCAAAGTTTGCTAATGTTAATATTAATCCTTAAATTTTTATCTGCATTCCAGGATGCGTCCGTGTATCGAGATGTATCAAGTTGAACGTTGAAAGACCAGAAAAAGGAAGTGACATTTGAACTGGGACAGAGGGTAGTTGTACGAGTTTCTCTGTTCTTGCTCTTTGGACATCATCAAAAAGTTAAAAAAACAGATTGCATAGTGTTCTACGGAAAGCCTTCTTTACGTATAAATAAAAGCCGTAGTAAAGAA